ACAAGTTTGGTTTGTTATATGTGCAGATAAATGATTTCACATTTGAATCACTTGTGCACTGGGAGCTCCGTCAGAAGGCACTTATTGAGAATGATGACAAGTACGGCGAGCGTTTGAGCAGTATCAAGTTTGTTGACATCAAGGGCTTTAAAAACCATTGGCATGAGCTTGATATAGTGGAGTTCTTTGTCAAGAATGCAAAATCTCTAGAGGAGTTGATGTTGCTGGGGCCTACAAATCCAAACATACAACTTTTTGAACTCGATGTGAGAAGGATCACTCGCATAAGAAGCTTATCTCGGAAAGAAAAACTCGTTCAATTTTTTTGAAGGTTAAGTTCAGGTTGTGTCCAACCAGGCAAGACTATAAGTAATTGCTCTTTTTATGTGTTTGAAACTGAATCATTTTGTGTTTTCGTTTATGATATTTTTCTGGACTTGAATTCTATCTGTTTTCGTTTTTTTTATATCAGATTTGAACTTATGTGAGATCAAATTGCTTCTAAATCTTTACCAATATATGTAATCATATTTCCATACACATATAGACTCATCATATAGTTTATGATAGGGGTCCCAAAAAAGAAATTTTGGTAGGGGTGAGAATAAATCACAATTTCTCAATAAACTTATATTCTCCTTTCCTAAATGAGAATAAATTTAATAGATAAAACACAAACAATAACCCAAATATAAGATTTCTCGTGTTGACAAAACATAATTTCTACACATAAATTTTGAAAATGATAATTGTGTAGAAATTCTAAAAAATAAAACAAGAAGATATAAATAATATTTTCGTTACTAGAAAAGTGCCTCCATTACGCTGCGAGATTTCTAACAATTTATTTTATTAACAACTCTTGTCAGGTATATACTTTCCTCAAAATGGATCAAAACTTACCACACCAATTCTTATACTCACTATGTATATGTTTGGTGTACTCTATGTTAAATAATTTGAACATCACACCAATTCTTATACTCATTAAGTATGTGTTATTCAAGTATATCCAACGCTTCTTTTTGTTCTTAGTGAAAGTTGTTTTTTCATGCTGAACTCTCTAAATAAACTAAATTATCTAAGTGTTGTAAAAGTCATCAAAAGAATCATCTTCAAAAGTCGTAAAAATACGCTAACACATGTTAAATGATCTGTGTAAAATATTATTTGTGTGGAGCTCACCATCACTATCCATGCACAATAACTTATCTTTTCACCTCTATATAAACAATCGTTACGATCATTGTTTCGACACAATTCATCTCTCATATTAAAGAGTAATAATAAGATCTCTCTTCTCCTATATTTTTCAGTACACTATTCCCACCGCGTATAAAATTTTGGTCTTTATTTATATGCTTATTAAAGTTGTTTTTCATTTCTAATAAACTATATTATCTATAAAAGAAATCTCTTTCTCCAAATTTGAATTCTTAAGTTTGGAATCCTCAAGTTTAAATTTTTTTTTTTTTMTTMTTGTCACAGACCCGAAATGCTTTCTTTCTTATATGGACAAAATTCTTTAAGCTATGGGCTATCCAAATCTTTGAATTTCCATGATGTGGGCTTCAATTTTTTTTTCTTAAACTATTACTATCGTTTAATATTTCAAGATAATTTTCTTAAATTTATAACAAGGACCAGAGTTTTAGAAAATTTCGTTAAACTTGGTACTATTTCCTTCCTTTCTCACTCCACTATGACAAACACATTACCATCAATGAATGGTCACTGTACAGAGTCGTAAGCAATCCTCAAAGGTACGATAACTTTCAGGAGTGACGTATTTATATCCTCACGAGATTATCATCACCATCCTTGCATTATTGAGTTTTTCTTCAAAAAGAAAAAGCTCTTAGATCTTGTGTTCTTGACGAACAAAAGAAGAAAAAAAAAAAAGATCAACGATTAAATAAAAAGTCATCTTTCTTTGTGTATCATAGAAATTCTTGACTAAGAGCTAACTGATGATAATTCATGTAATCAATCCCACTTAACCGGACGCAACATAGAATCTGCTCCGGTAACTCCTCCGGTTTATTCCCCTGAAATTGAGATTTTACGGTTAATAACCACAGAGATTGCCAAAATATTTCCTCAAAGAAGCAAAATTTTGCAACACATTACCTGAATTGTGAGTCCAACATCAAGAACACAGTGCTTGAGTCTGTCTAAAAATGCTTCGAATCCTTTCCGCGATATATAACTGAATCTATGCATATCAATATCAATTTCAAAGTAATTCTCACCCTACAAGATCATAATTTCAGAGTTAGTGAAGCATTATTCCAGGTTTCAATAGGATTTGAATTTGCTATGATACTTGTGACATACTGAGTAAAACTCGTGCTGCGGCCGGGAAAGCACGGGTTTTTCGTTGTAAGCATTCATGAGTTTCTTCTCCGCACCATTCAATTGGAGATCCTCTACATTCGCTACACGACCCAAGATCTTTAACCGTTCTCTATATGCCACATTTGCATCCATAGGAAAGCCCCTAACTTTCTCAACCTCATCATCTATTAATCTCTGCAAAAATCCAAAGACAAGAGATCAAAAACTTGTATCCAACACAAGAGCACAGATCAAAGACAGAATCACAAGGTTAAATTACCTGAATGCTTTCTTGAAAATGAGGAGCAAGCTCCTTTAAATAATTATCCGAAAGTTTAAAGTATAAAACAAAATTCATTCCTTCTCCATCAGTTTCACCTTGAAAAATTGCAGCTGGATACAATGGAATCTGAAATTGAAATAGCAACACCAAAGTTAAACCATAACGCCGGAAAAGTAATGCAAAAGAAGGTTTTAACCACGGAATTAGGAAATATACCTGAACATTTACAACAAGGATAGCTGGGAGCTTGGTCGAGGTGGTGGTAATAACAGGAAGTTCCACGTATTGTGCTATATGGTTTACTTTACGTTGTGATAAGAATACATCGACACCGAATGGATTATATGCAGAATAGTTTGGTGCAAACTCTTTCTTCTTTTCTCTACCAAAAAAACAACAGAATATCAGTTTTGAGTTAGTAACAATAGATGTAATTGGGTATATAAAACGACAACTCTCTCCGTATGTTTACCTGAAATAAGTTTTGCCACGAACCCGGAAACTACTTGGCTCAATAATTGACCAACAATCAAACATCTTCTTTTCTAGCGGACAAAACGGAACCTGAGATCCCGCAATGGGTCTCTGCAGCTGCATTTTTGTAGAAACTGAAACAGTGAAGAGACAAAATTGAGTTATTGGTTTTAAAATATCTTTAGAACCAAATGCAATGGAACCACAATTGATACTTACATAAAGGACCGGTAGCGTGTCCTTCTCTCCATTTGAAAGATAGTTTAAGCGCAGCTTTTTTCCTTGTACTCGGAGGGCTAGAGCTTAAGGACCTTCTCTTTTCGATCGAAGGAACAGTTGAATGAAGACAAGACAAACAATTGCTCGGAAGAATCCCACAGCTTTCCAACAATCCTTCATCTTTTCTAGAGCTATCATCAGCATTTGAAGCAATCTCGTCGATAAAAACAGGCTGCTTAGTGTCAACCAAAGCACTCTCTGATTTTGATTGTGAGAAAACGTCATCTACGGTTGAGGCACGAGAGTTGGAAGTTTTAGGACCATCGCTTAAAGAATTCCGAGCAGAACCACCAAGGTTAGAGTCTCTAACAGATGACATACTCGATACTGAGATACGCTCAGCTCCGTTTACGGACAGCATATCTGAAACAAGACCCGTAAACAAAGTGATATATTGTTCCTAGGACGACGAATCAAAGGGATTTAAAGAAACATTTTCTACCTTCGACACTGTGAAAATCATCATCACAATCGGTTTCAAAGGCAAGGTTGGAATCAAACCATGCTTCATCAACGCTTGCTGTTCGATAAAACAGTGAGACCGGGGTCAGGTGATATTATAACACAAATAGACTAAAGGATTCAGCTAAGTGGACACAAGCCAGAGAGTTAATAACACATGAATCTTGTTTCTTAATTTGATGCTCACAAAGATCACCAGAAACATTTCTCTTCTTCCTAACTTAAATGCTCATCAAAGACTAACCATTTAGAGAAAAGATTCACTCTTTGATCAACGTAGATCCTAAATTGTGAGCTAATCTAACCAGAATCTAATCCCCAATATCCAAAACGAGCAAGAATCGGATCGATCAAAGGCTAATATGAGATATGCAATAGAGAGACATGAAACGTAAATTAAGACGAGGATGGGTGATCAGAGAGACCTCGGAAAGTGGGATTGGAGAAGGAACGATCGTGATTATCAAAAGATCCGTCAGATAAGCGAGAAGAAGACACAACTCTCTTCTTCTGAATCTTTCGTCTTGTCCGAGTCTTTCTCCTCTTGCTTGACCTTAATTTCCCTCCTACGCAGCTCTTAGGCGTTGACACGCAACCTCCCA